TGCCAATATGCGCTTTTGCAATTTGCATATATGCAAGAACGCATAAAAATGACTTCGTTTGTATGTTTTTACTGGCGTAGATTGCACAGGTCAGCAAGTATGTAGGTTGTCTGATTGGCGTTGTCAAAACCCACTATCAAAGCTTGTCCAGTAATGCTGTACTAGGAAAGTACGCATCTACCGTACGACGTATCTCAGTAAGAAAATTACCAGATGCATCAGTGGCGAGAAGAAACGCGACAATGAAACAGCAGTCGAAGTATGCAAGTGTACCTCGTGATAATGCAAGGCAAAAGCGACATCCGGAGCTTTCGACAGAATCCCATTGTGGCCAGTCCCCCTCGCTCAAAATGACGATTCTCCTTACTCTCACACCCTTTTGCTTCAATTTTGCTTGTTATAGGCCTTATCGGGACCGTAATTATTCACCTATTAGACTAGTATGTGTCCCGTTTGTATGTGTGTGTAAAACGTCGCGGCTTATATACATGTTTATTAATACATAGTAAGTTAAAAGGATAATGCATAAAAAGGAGGTGAGGCTCCTTTAGTATTAGTTATATAGAATGAGTAGTTCGCAGTAGTAGATCGGTAGTGGCGATCCCGGCAATGGGGAGGAGTGCTTTTATACCCCAGGGGACAAAGATCGAAAGTTCAATGAGGGTAGGGTGGTTAAAGTTTGAACCAGGGACAGGGTTAGTGCGTCATAGTAACGCAGTTGATCTTTAATCTATTTTTAACAAAAACATTATTTGATATATTACGCGATAGCTTGCACCGCTTCTGAATCCGCCTGAGTGCTGTTGAAAGTAGCGTAGCACTTTTCGGTCGATTTTAATGCCTTGCGTGGATTTCTGTGCCTCATTAGGCGAATTTGTCTGCTGCCATAGCTTCTGTTGGGTGCAGCTCAAGCTTTGCCAGTCCGGTTTTCTCGTCATCCATTCCTTTAGCATGTCACTTTAAAGTGCAAAAGCGGTTTTGTCTGGCAGTATCGAATTATTTTCATTCGCTTCGTGTGTTTTCTTGAATGCTGTGTCTGTTTGGGTGAGTCATGCCGTAGTTCCAAGCAATCAGAGCAATTGTTGAATTGCATTTCGTCACGAATTTTTCGTACCACTGATTGTATGTGTGTGTATGTGTGTATGTTTGTGTGTGAGGGAGCCGAAGTGCCTGCTCAGTGTCGCCGAAAGCATATTCATCCTACTGGCAGCGGCGTACGGATGTGGAACTTGGCTACCGAGACAAATGCTGTCCGTGGTAAAGTGATAAATGACTGTTCCGTCGTTCTTGCCAATCATGCGTCCTGTCATTTCGGGGGCGTGCAAGACGACATCGCTGTGCTCGTCGGAGGAAACAAGTCTCGCTGAGCGTAGTGCGTTGATGGTCCTCTCGACAGCCGCTGTGATTGCATTTGCGATACAGGAAAGGACGCCTAACGAAGCGGGTACCAGTCCCTGTTGCGCGAACGAGGCGCAAGCTACTGTGGCAGGCTTCACTTACGTCTGTTGGCGTTTTCTTCTGAGTGCCACACCGGCTTTTGCATTTCTGAGTGCCACAGCCGCTTAAATGTTCAGTTGCATGAGCTTCACTGCACCAGCACCTGCTGATTGGGTTGACGGTACTGCGAAGAGAAGCTTAGCCGGATAAAATGATGCACGGTGCCTCATCGACATGCCTGAAGCCGATGGCCGTGCTTCAACACATCTGTCACAAGTAGGAGGAACAGGCGTGCCCGATACAAAGACGGATCCAGGGCTGACTCCCAGGGTGAGCGGGTGGAGTAGGACAGTGAAAGTTTCCTCCGATAATATGAAGCACTTGCAGATTACTTTTAAAACTGTTAATTGTGCTTTTCGTTTTCCAATAATCGAATTTTGATTGCTGCAAGCAATCAAAAACCCAGGTGGCCCGCGCACCAATGAATGGGCCCGGGCTTTTGCAGCACTGGTGCCTGTGCCGCTGGGGAGGACAAAAGACCCTCCCCTTTCCCTCCCCCGTGGATCCGTCTATGATATGAATATATTCTCGCAAAGCAGACCTGCACCTTCGACGAAAGCGATTGTGTAATAAAATGAACGGGTGAAGGACAGGTCCGGGAGGGGGAAGGTGGTAAGGAAACCGGAAGGAGAGATAGCTGTTTGAAATGGATCGTGTTCTGGTTCACCCGGCCGGTCCAGGAGCTGTCGTTGTGTCTGCACATTCAGCGCAGCGGGAAAATTTCTCCATGCGTACTGGTCAGCAGAGGTCATTTCGAGGTGTGAGTATTGAGTCTTTGGGGTGCACATGGCCCTCCCCTGAATCGTGACCTCACATCCAATTTATACATTATATGACTTCAGAAGAAAAAGTCACCAACATTGCTCAAGCGATTTGCATGGAGCACTCCATGTTACTGAGATGCAGAGACATGAGCCAACACAGCTACGGTGGTGCTGTTCGGAGTTGCCCACTCTGCACCGTTCACGCTTGTACAACCCCGGGCGGGCCCCGTGCGATCATGCGTTTTTGCACCGGACTTGAAGTACTCAGGTCATTAACTGTATGAATGGTTGTTGCTTTACACCTACCTTCTGCGGTCACTAGCATAAATCACCATAAATTTTGCAAAGTAAATGTAAAACTTCCATTTAATAATCGTTCTTTAAAAGTAACCTAGTTGTTCAGTGAGGAATTTTTTCGTCAAGACTTTTAAGTGCCCTTACGTAAGAACCACGCATACCTCAAGGCTGAATTTGAAATAGTTAAGTTGTACTTGGTCAGAGAAAATTCCCTCAAAATTTCAGCCTTCCAGCTGTTCTGGTTGCCGAGTTAGTAATTCTTCTGCAAAAAATTTCACACGTCCTTACGTGAGTACCATGCTTAGCTTGGGGCTGAATTTGGAATATTTGGGTTTTACCTTGATAAGGAACATTCCCCCAAAATTTCAGCTTTCTAGCTTTCTGGCACTCGATTTAGCAATTTTCCCCTTAAAACTTTCGTACGCCCTTATTTGAGCACCACGCACACCTGAGGGCTGAATTTGAAATCTTTAGCTAGTACATGCACTACATGCACAAGGAATATCCCTACAAAGTTTCAGCCCCTTAGCTCATGTGGTTCCCGAGATCGCTTTCTCACCAAAAAATTTGCATGTTTTTTTAAAACGTCCGAACACGGCACCCAGGCGTCGGCTGGGGATGAAATTAAAACGGGAGGGTCGCGCACGGTATGGACACATACTCCCAAAGTTTCAGCCTTCCGGCTTTTCTGGTTCTCGAGTTGAAAGTGGGTGACAAAAAGTGCGAACACAAAGGCACACACACAGACAGCTTCTTCCTAATGTGCGTTTTTGCAATTTGCATATATGCAAAAACGCATAAAAAGTACGTCCTTCAGCAGCGTGTTCTGATCGGCGGGTTACCACTGAACGCCACTCAGAGTGTTTCGTTTCCTTTCTGGGGCAGACAGTCTGAGCATTGCTCGCTCCATCGCTCTCTCCGTCATAGCTGGCCTTCGCTAGTGACAACATTTCTCACCCGTACGTCATTGCCTTCATTGTGCAGTGATACTGGAGACGGGCTCACGTTGTTTGATGATCCGAAGGCACTGTTGCTGGTGCTATTTTGTTTCAGGCAGTAGGATGAAGCCAAGGCGACGGAGCAAAATTTACTGGCGTAGGTTACGTGGCGAGGACAACACTGAATTGCGCGTGCTGGCGCTGGATGTGGATGACGAAGACTTCCTGGACAATATACGTGATTGCTTGCTGGCATTTGAATCTCAGCTTTATCCCATTCTGATCCCATCCGGAAGCTCTGGTTTGTTGTTCCGTTGTTCGCCTTTTTGGAATAGCTGGCATCACATTATTTTTTGAAATTATTTGAATTACTGTTTTCGAGTGTGGTTTGAAAATTTGACTCGTTCCTGCACGTTCCATTCCATATACTCTTGATACCCTTGATTTTTATCGCATTCTGTTTGTGTTTTAGTTTTTTCCAGTTTAACTCTTTTAAAAACGTTGGACATTTTAGCGTTCAATTTAGAGTTCCTGAATGCATTTCCTCAATTTTGTTGTTTTTTCTTTTTTTTTTTTTTGCGTCTTAGCTCAATTTCCTCATCTTTTCTTATTGCGTTCAATCAAATTCATTATTATTAGATTACTTCTGTGCGGGTGCTCGCTGGAATAATTCTCTCCAAAAACAAAATGAACCAGGAAGATTGGTGGGGCCACAGACCTGCAATCAAGTTTTAGATTGATCCTTTTACGATTCTCTAATCACTCGCATGAGATGATTAGTGTTGAAAAGCGCCTAATAAACAGTTTCTGAAGCATTTGAACCTGCATTTCTTTTTAGGCTCATATTTTGTTCGCGATGTGCAGGGACGACATATTGCTGTATTCAAGCCCAAGGATGAGGAGCCGTTCGCCGAAAATAACCCAAAGTGGCCGAAATTTTTGCAACGATTTCTTTGTTTCTGTTGCTATGGACGTTCCTGTTTGATACCGCTTAGTGGTTATCTATCTGAAGTTGGAGCTTCGCTGGTTGACGATCGCTTACAGGTTTGTGCGTTACGAGAAAGTTCGTGGATCGGTGCCTTTCATATACTTTTGCCTCCGAGAACTCCCAATTTCCCCAGTCCGTCTTGCCAATAATGCTCTGATGCTTTGGTGAGTTTTTGTTTTATCGCTGCATCACTTCTTTGCCGCTGATGCAGATGTAATTTCTGCCTTCTCGACTTCGGGCATCTTTGATCCTCGAGATTTCACACAGACGTTAGAGTGAATTGCTCCACTCGCACTGATGGCCTTCTCTGATGGCCTCCTTTGACATTACTTAGTACCGTTCGGTAATCCGCTTCATCTATATTTCGTTTCTCATTTTCTTTACGTCACTTTATATTAAATTTGGTCATCGCCTAGATAATAGAGCAATTCTGTTAGATTGCGAAACTCTTCTGCGGTGGTTTTGTTAAGTCGTATAGAACTGACGAAGGTTGTTTTCCAGTTTTGCATTATGAATAGTGGGCACAAAACTTCGTTCTATCATTCGACATAGAGCCAGCTCATCCCGCTTTGAACGTTAATTTCTTTAAATTTGCTCCTACCATTTTTTTGTTTCCAAACGTACTTCATGTAGGATTGCTTATCACATTTTGACTAAATTTTGTGCAATTTTGACAAAATTGCATATCTCATTTGATTAAACCTTACTCCCTTTAACGCAGAATTTTCCCGCCCTCTCTCCTTCGACAAAAGCGGAAGAGCGCTGCTTCTCTTTCGATTACTGGCTGGATGTGCAACTGTTGTAGCGAAATTATAAATTGCTTTGATTGATGAGCATGAGGCATAATAAGCCATAACTTTTAAACCATTTTTGTTCGTTGGATTGACAGATCTTTACTGACATTTACAACGAATCATACCAACGAAAATAGTCAAAGACAAGTCTGCCAGGAACGATTTCTGGTTGATTTTCTTTTTCGAGCTTCGTCCATTATCTGTAAGGAATCGAAACGTTTCCATCTGATTACACATGAATTTGGCCATTTGCAGTTGTATATTGTGCCCAAAACACGTATCGTAAAAATGGCTGCTCCGACATTTTTTTACCCGAAGCGTTGCTGCTCAGCACTGGAGGAGGAAGTTAGCCCTAAAATTGGAAGCTACCAAGTAAGTATTTCAGATTTTTGCGTTAATGTGTGGTGAAAAAGCAACGGGTGCAAACTTGATGTAGGTATCCTAGGGCTGGGGAGGGGGAGGGGGGAGGCTTGGTGTAGCGTCCTTTGAATGTGGCTTCTTTGTAGCCGCCTTCTTAGTGACGGTTGTTTTTGCGATTAACGAGTGGAACGGTTTGTTTCAGTTTTTTGTCCATGGCTACAGGCCTGCGTACGACGTGGTGCCGGGCTGGGAACTGGCTGGTACCAATGACCCGCTAACGCCAGTTGAACGCCAACGTTTTTTGCTTCTGTTTCAAAAAATGTGTGTGCTGGATTATGTGATACGAAATACGGATAGGAATATGGATAACTGGTTAATACGGTCAGTTTCTTTATTTGTACTACTACTTTTGTGCAGTTTTAAACCGTGGATGTAATTTATGCCGGCACAGTCTGTTCGGGCTGTATTTCTGCATGACATATTATTCTAAAGAATCCTTGGCCGAAAGTTACTGCAGTGATTGCCTCTTTGTTCGACCCTGGGTGTCTCTGTATGCGACTCCTGTACGGTGACTTTGGCGACTCCTGTACGATCTTCTTTTGACACTTCATCTTACGTGTTATTGTTGCTGGGTGATCGTTTAGATGAGCTGAAAGATTGTAAAATGTCAGAGGAATTTAATATACCAAGCATTTCTTGTCAGAAGAACCAAGAAGAAAGTCAAAGAAGCGAATTTCGGGAGCATGAGCAGCCTGGTCACTAGGTGGCGTGGAGGTGCGCTACAGAAGCAGCAGCTAAACATGATGTCTTTTTGAGAGTTCAGACATGTCGCTGCATATAAGCTTGGTGAAATTTCAGTCCCCGTCTCATAAAACTGTTGCAGACTCCTCTGACTTTTCCACTCACCGATTTCTTTACTGTAACAGAGAGAAGTAGTACTGCTGGAGTGTTTGTAGCGAGGGCCGTGGCTTAGGTCACCAGAAATTGCCTGAGGAGTCGTTCCCTTCAGTTGTACAGTAAAAATTAATGTACGTTGATATGAACTGAATTTACTGCTTGCGAAATATTGCTCAAATGTGGTTGTAATTTTTTTTTTTTAACTTGTACTTAGCGCTTCCACAGCTTTCATGGAAGCGCTAACTGCAAGTGAAATTTACTCCTGTAATAATTGTGATAGCTTATACGAAGTTAATGCTTTCAGATAGTAAGTCTTGGCTGATGAAGTTGCTAGTGGTGCTTGCCTTCATATTTTTCCCGATAGTCTTTTCAGATTGTTTTTATTAAGCAAAAATTTTTCCATCAAATCACTCTTTACCAGTTTTCTTGCAGATACATTCCCGGTGAAACGCTTGATCTTGCTGCTATCGACAACGGTCTGGCCTTTCCGATAAAGCATCCCGAAACTGCAACCGTTCTCCGACCGTTTGTTTACGGTTGGGCAAATATGGAATGTGCTCGAGAGGTAAAACTGTTTGAATTTGAACTCCCTAAGCCCAAACATAGTTTGTATTTACGTAGACAGGATTTGACGAGAAGCTTATTCGCGTGCGGTAGCTGGAATTAGGTGGAGAATGGGGATGAGGGGAAAAGGCTGGGGGAGGGAGAAGGTGGTTGGGTTGGAAGGTGTAACCGTGCTCTGACAAGGGTTCGCGCTGTATTTCGAAGATTGTCATTTACACCTTGACCACGCCAACTTTCAGTCGTGTGAAATTTGTTTAGTTATGCAGAAATTTTTCCACACTTTCCATTTTGCTATGTAAATAAATTCAGTGATTTTGCTGGTGCATTGATCATAGCACGATTTTCATGCAGTGATCTCGGATTTATCAGCTGTTAGCAAACCGTTTGTCAGTGATTCTAACCCCGTGTTAGGATGCTGGACATGCCAATACCAACTTCTGCTAAAACAGTTCCCTGAAGAATTTTATTTTTTCAGCAGCATGCTTTTGATGAGTGATTCAGATAGTCTTCAAAGAAAGTTACCTTGTCGACCAAATTTCCGTCTTCCCTATTTTTAAGTTTTCGTGCATAAAAGTGCTGTTCAATATGTCTTTCTTAAATATTCGGTTGCAAAAAAGAATAGGCTACTGCCTTAAACCAGAAGTTATTCGATGTACCGTAGCATTCTTTTTTAGGGTACTGCAATCTCGATTTTGCCGTGTGCATTTCTTTTTTTTACACGGCTGATCTCGACGCTTACTGACCACAAAAATGAGGAATTTTCCTTACTCTCGGTGAACTTCATCACACTATTTTTCGATCGATTTGTTGTTGGGATGGTTATCATCCCCGGTCACAAACAAATGCCTGAATTTCAAAAGTAGAAATACACATGCGTTAACTTTCGAATTTGAATTATACGTTTAGCATTACTTTTTTTGCAGCCGTGGAACGATGCTCTGAGAAGCCGTTTGCTGCAGTTACTGACGCCACTGTTTGTTCATCGTTTATGCATAGAAATCAAGCGACTTTTTATGATTGACACGAGTAATAATCGATTCCTGATCAACAGTCAGTTGAAAGTTTTCAGGGGACAGGTAATTGCTATTCGTAAAAACTGGAAGCATAGCAAAAATGTAGAGGAGATGGTGGCATCAAACAGTAGAAAAGCAGCATGGCGCAAAGATGAGAGTGCTCAGGAATGGGTGATTACAGCATAGTAACGTCTAGTCGATGCACTAACAGTCCAGACTATTGCATACGCTTTGTGCAAGCTTGCACAGAGTTGCCACAGAGCTTCGCTGCAGGAATGGTTGCGCAGTTAAGCAATGAGCTGAACTGCACGGTTAATTTGAAACTTAAATGGCATCTCTGATTTTCTTTCTAGGCAACTATATTTGCGCACTTTCTTTGTACATTTACTGAAATGAAATAAGCAATTCTTTCGTTTTGCTATTTTCAGCTCTGGAATCTTCGGCTAGCATTAATGGAAAATGAGCCACCACTGAAAATGATTCAACGGCCACTTGTTGTTGTTAGTAAGCGTTATCGTAAGATGCCACATTCCGATGTCTGGGAGGAATGCTTCCGAGCAAAGCAGCCAGATTATTCTGGAAGAAGGTGTTGCTGATGCTGGTGCAGTGCAGTGCTCACGTTACGCAAGTTTGGTGTTAGCGAAATCCTGTCACACGCAGGTTACAATTACGCCGACTCTTTCCATCATGACCCGCTTGTCACCGCTTACACTGCACGCTACTTCGGACGTTTTTCAAATGGCCGTTTCATGTGTAGGTATGGGCAAAGCGAGCAATATGTTTCACTCGTCGGACTTTACTTCCTCTCATGTCGGAACGATGTCCTGCACAGCTTATGCTGACGGACAGTTTTCATGCTTTTTTGCATATTTAGTGCAATGCAAAAATGCACAATGGCGAGAGATTGTCGAGAATTATACATATATATATATATATATATGTATATTCAAAGACATATATATATATATATATATACATATATATGCATGCGTATCTTTGAATTTTGCCTACTTTCAGTTTGACAAGCCAGAAAGCTGAAATCTTTATGAGGGTCTCCCATTCCATGGGTGGCCTTGCCAACATAAAGTTAATGTTCGCGTATGTCTTGGTCTTACGTGCAGTTACCTAAAAAACGTGAAAATTTTGACGAGAATGCGACTTGGAGACCAGACATTACATGAATCTGAAGTTTCACAAAGATATTCTGAACCCTAGTGTGTGCTAAACATTTTAAATGCAGCTTTAACGCACACCTATATCATTCAGGCTAAATCTGCTGTCGAGTAGTCCTAGCAAAATGCTAGATGGAGAACTAGGCGGAATGACATGTTCCGATTTTGTGGGGAAATATGTGTTGCCCATATGCAACTCCACAGAGATAAAGTGAATTTTCGCGTCCTCCTGTACCACATGTACAGGAGCGTTAAACATATTTTTGGTAGAAGACAATTTTGGGAACCGGAGAAGCTAGGAAGTTGAAATTTTGCGAGTGTATTCGTTAGCTGTATGCGACTCAAATATTTCAAAATTACCTTCGATACAAAACTAGATATCGTGCATGAGCAAGTGACATTTCCTGTTGATACACTTTTGGTATCCATTTAACTCGGGAATCAAACTGTGTGGGCAGCTGTATTTTTATGAAGATAATTGCTATTCATGCACAGACCTGCATTCATAAAAGTAGTATCTGCGCGTGCTTGTGTCTCGCGCTTGGTATATGTCAAATGTTGCTTGTAGATCTGTACACAGTCTTCCCTGTCCAAAAGGAGACAGGCAAGGATGGTAATTTTTGCGTGAAAGTGGTTCGTGCATGTGCGGCCTCAAATGTGTGAAATCAACGGTCGTATATGCCATCTCCTCACAGATAGCAGAACATCCATTTGACGGAACAGTCGGCATTCTTCGAACTCGTAGACCACATAACCGCGAACTCACTTTGATGCATCCTGTACATGTGCGAGTTATATGCGCAAAGTGAGCTTCTACTTATGCGAATTTGACGAGAAAGCAGCACCGTCATTATCACCCATTGTCGACATTGTGCGAAACAAAAAAGCACCTAATTCACGCAGTCTCAGACAACCACAGCATAAAGTTGTGCAAAAACGCATTATCGCGCCGGCTCTCCTGGTACGCTTCGTTGTCGGTTACATTTATGCAACTGAAAACGAATTTAGATGTGTACGCGCGTCTCCAGATAATTCAGCTCCGGATTTTTGAATTGTTGGTGTGCCCTGACCTGCAGTCTGAGGCGGACAGGTCAATCCTCTAAATGATTTGAAACAAATACCGTAGAAAAACCACCAGCTAGGAATTTTAGGAAATTGCTTATCTCCATCTTGCTTCATTTGGGAGTTCGCTTTTACAGATAAACTCTGCTTTTGGCGATTATTGGAATTTGTTAGTCCTGACATTTCTTTCTTCTACTCCATATCTGTCATATTACCTTTTCCAGCATTTCTTTGTTTAAATTTTATGCCGAAACCTTCCCCCTCTCCCTACCATGACTACTGTGTTCTTAGATTCGATTGCGAGGGTTTGAGCTCAGCAGAGAATTTTTTAGCGCCGCATTTGATTGCCAAAATCTAGTCGAGAAGTAAATGTTATCGACTGGTTTCGAGAATAACAAGAAATAATTTGCGCGAACCACAACCTGTGCAGGTGATAGACCTGCTCGGTAGCATCCCTTTTTCCTGCTCTGCAAAGCAAAATTGTTTTATCATATACGCTTTTTGAACTGCTATGAGCCCGGTGTTTCTCGCACGGTGAAGAAATAGCATTATTTATTGGTTTTGCATGGAGATGATTTTTGAGTTCATCCTTCGGCAGTGACGTACAACTGTGGGTGCACATCGGAAAGCCCAGTACGCTCCGTAGTTCGATGTCCAAGGCTGCTAGCAACCTTACGAGCTGCTATTTCGTCACCGTGAATTGAGCTAAGGAAAGCACGTGGTATTATGAGTATTTAATTTTCCTCTTTTCATGCTGTTCCTCGTGTTTTTTCGGTAGCATGCACTCTGCGTTCCATTCTTTGTCATCACATGCTTTGTACCTCACCGTCTGCACAATGCATAGTCTGTTGCCACTTCTGCACCACGGTGTTAATGCTTAGATTTGTTAAATGGAAGTTTGTGCTGTTGAGTTTAAAACACCAGTTGAACTTTCCGTTCAGTTGTAATCGCCTGAACTTCTCAGCATTAGATTTCTGAATTTAATTATGATCCCACTCCTAAATAGTACATACTTCGGATTTTCTTCTTTGAAATTAACTGGCGCTTGTGACAGATTCTGTCTTCACAGCGTACAGGAAAAAAAATTGCCTTTCAGTAGCTTTATAAGCTACCCTTCCGTCCCCGTTTTTCCTCTCACTGAATTTTTTCTGCGAAGTCTGATCTGAAATGTGATCTTCGTCCATCGACCACATGAACCATATACTGTTTTTGTTGTTGACCAGTTGGAGCTTGTAGTGCTTTTCCCTCATTGTTTCTTTCTGTTCAGTTTCCGAAGTTTCATGCTGTCACCAGAAATACTCAAACTTTTTCCTCATCGTTCACTTTGTTTAAATTGTGAATAAAGCTACCCTGAAGATGTGGCGATAGATACTGAGCGCAAAGAGCTGACCTTTACAGTTTTTGAGTTCGTTTCGTGCATTTTCTTGAATTTTATTTTGAACTGCCGCAGCTGTTTCCTCTTGGTAGTCCCACACTTTCCCCTGAACATCTCTGAATGTTTGCGGAAAAGGTAATTTTTCAAATCGTTTTGGGTCTACAACAGCAGGCACAACGCACATAAGATAAAAGGTAACACAGTTTGCGGCTAGTACAGTGAGAGGTAACTGTCATTACAGAAAGTGCTTATACACTCGGCAAACGTTTAGAAATTACAATCATTATGATGGGCATACTGGAAAAGTATAAAATACCTAGAGGTCGGTCTGTCCATTAACGGGGTTTAAAGCATTCTTAGGTCCGGACCACTGGCACTCTCGGCCGGAAACTTCGGCACTACTCGGCGTAGCAGTGTTTAAATCAGAAGGATTTGTCTCGCTTTTCGGATAAATGCCCACTCTCTTTAACAGGATTATAACTGCACTGTCAACACGGACACCGCCGCAGCGACGGCACCGCTGGTAGTTTTGTCAAGATTGTACTATGATTAACATAAGGAAGCGTACACTGAGTCAGTTACACAGCTGGCTTTTATTCGCAGGAGATACATGGTAAATTCCGACGTAGCACTGCTCTTCTGTCGTCGCTCAAGGACTCGATTCCGCCGATGAGCCAGTCATCCCTTCTACGATTGGTTTTGATGGTAAATTAGTTCTGGCATACATCACGTGGTCGAACTACCAGCCTACTTCAAACACCCCTCGAAGAGCTATCGAGAGCTTTAAATTGTTCTTGGCAATTGCTACCACTCGGGCTACTTCTCGTGTAACTTCGTATTTCTTAGAGTGCAAATAAGCAGGGGATTTCGACTCCTGGCATTTTGTTGCTACTGCCGCTGCTGCTACTGCACATGTATAGAGATGTGTTATGCTGTTTCGTTATATGTCTTCCCAGAGAGAAAAAGACGCTCCGTTTCGGCTTCTTTCAGAATCTCGGCGTTTTATGTGTGGTATTGCGGAAAAACTAAAAATTTGTTTTTAAATGTACCTTTCAGTGAAAATATCTGCGAATAACATACCCTTCAAAGGCTAATTTTCAGACAAATTTTAGTAAGTATAAGAAATCACGGAGCTGTTTTGTTATCGCTCCCAGATAGCGTCGGCATCTTTCTGTACAGTGCGTGACATCTGTTTACGATATGTGCAACTCATTGGTTACTGCCATGTGTTGCGGCCGTCCTTCTTCGTGACCGTCTTCAAAATTTCACCCTTGAAATATGGATTCTGGCTTCGTAGTGGCTTCATAAACACGCTTGTTATGGAACGCTTACGTCGAGGTGCCTGCAAAGAAGCGCAGCAATGATAAAGAAATTTCGAAAGCTTTCGGCCTAAAAAGGAAAATTTTGAAATCGTTTTTTGTTATCCGAAGCCTACTGCGTTATATGATAATCGGCAGAATACTGTACTTTTTTGATTTTTTGACCTACCAGACCTTAGTAAACTTTCGAAATTTGCCATTAATTGCCACCTGTTTGGATTTAGAACTGAAGAGAGGTGTCAAGAGGCAGTAAAGTTCTAGTATGGATCTTTAAATGCTTGAACGTGATAGCTTAGATTTTACAATTTCGAATTTATTGCACTTTTCTTGCTCAATTCAAGTTAGAAGCTCGAATTTGTATTTGGAGCTAGAAGTTAAGACTAAAGAACAAGCTCGCAAGACTCGGGACTCTGAAGATAACTGATAACTACAGCCTTAAAATTTCAGCTTCTGTAGAAATATATTTATCTAGATATACAGAAACGCAGCCTTGGAGCAGCACATATTTCGTTTAAAAAAAAGTAAATATGTATCAAAAATTGACCAAAAACAGCTGTCATTTCACTTACAATGCTACACTTTGAGAATGAAAGTGGCTTCCAGAGCTTGTTTTGAACAGAACTGTCTTAGACCAATGGCGAAAGTAGATAAGTAGAAAAAGCTAAGTCGAGTTAGCTGGCCACATTATAACGCACTATCAGAGAATAAAAATTAGCTTTAAAAGTTTTGAAGTGTAAATCCAATTGGATAAGTAAGCGCAGCTGCAGCAGTTGTGAGAATGCATGAACGCTTCAAAGCACTCTTGCTGTCCGAGCATAATTTGGCGATAGCTAATAAATTCAAACAAATGCAAACCAGTGCTTGAGATCGTTTCTCATGGAATTTTTTGGCGATAAGAGTTTTGTGGAGGCCCTGCTCATCGAGTAAGCTTTGAAGACTTTCTTCGAGTTCATCATCCGTCCTTTTGTCCGGACAGCTAAATCAGTTGTTTTCATGCATTAAGTATTCTGTAAATGATTTGGACTTCAGTATAACTCTCTGTGTTTCTGTTGCTGAAGTGCAGCTATACGTCAGTCAAGGCTATACTGGTTCTCTCCAACGTAAATTACCTGTTACCGATTCTCTTCGGCGTAAATTATCTATTACCAGTTATCCACCATGAGAGAGCCTGGTCGGTAATACAAACTGCTCACCGGCCCTAATCAAAGCAAGCAGTATGTTCCATTCACTTAACTTTACCTTCATCTACTGACACATCCAAGCTTTAGAAAAGTTGGGGTCTTCTGTAGGAACTAGGAGATCACTCAAAATTTCCAGCCTTTTCTATTTTTCTATTTTATCTGCTAACGAAATTCCACATCCCTCAACTCAGTTTGTTATTTTTCAACACAGCTTTGCACTTTCCTCCTGAACTTATCGTACATGCGGCTGAATTTCGCACTCTTACCTGGCCTCTACCTGCCACTTCGCTGCAACAATTTAATTTGGTTACAAAGAGAAAAAATGAGGTATATGACCTCGGCGGCGTCCTCTTCTTCTACAACAATATAATTTACTTATTCTAGACTTATAAAACCAAAAGAAACCATTTTAAGCAATAACGTAGTTAGGCAATGGATGGAAAAGGAGAAAGCAAAGGCTGGTTGTTTTTATCTTCATAATATGTCAAATCCATTCTTGCAACGAAAGAAAAGACGGAACATTTGTAGCCTCAGCAGCACAGGCACCAGTGCTACAAAAGTCCGGGTCTGTTCATAAATAAAACTAAAGTTACTCTAAGTAACAACGTTGCAGCTCTATTTTTAGTTTTTGCGTAGTCACAAAGTGGGAGAGCTCTCCCCGCATCCTCCCAGCACCCCCTACCCAGAAACCCCACAATCCCTTCTCATCCTCGTTGCCTTCCTCGGGAGTCAGTCCTGGACCCGCTTATGGACACATAAAAGCTCATTTTCCGGGAGAGCACAAAGTTTTAGCTCAAATTTGATTCACTGAAGCGTCTCTGTGATGTGCAACAGCTGCACAAAACGCATATTGTGAAGGAGTTGTTTGTGTGTGCCCGGTGCATTTTGTCCGCAACTTTCAGTTCGGGAACAAGCTAGGAAACTGAAATTTTGGGAGAATGTTCCCCGCCCACGTGTGGCTTTGGTGAAAAAAATTATCTCGAGAACCACGAAAGCTTGGAAAATAAGAATTTAGGGCAGTGTTCCACGTCTACGCGTGACTCAGCAATTTTAATTTCAGCCTCTCGGTCTTCGTGCATACTACGTGCAACTAGTAGAAAGTTTTGACGAAAAAAATCATTACCTCAGAAACCAAAAAAGCTAGGAAACTGAAAATTTGAGATAATGTTTCCCGCCCATATATACTACAGCAAATTTAATTTCAGCCTTCCCGCTCACCTGAACACCACTTGCGACCCGTGAAAGTTTTGGAGGGAAAATTATCTCGGGAGCACAAAAGCTAGGAAGCTGAAGTTTTAGAAGAGTGCTCCCTGATCCCTTATAAATTCAGCTACAGCGCAAAATCAGGTCTCGCGTACAGGCACGTGAAAGTTTTGGCGCTATAACTTATAGCTCGGAAACCATAAAAATTTCCATGCATGTCGAACAGTAAAACACCGAACACTTCTAACAGCATAGGCCCCTTGAACGGAATTGCATAAGAGTTCGCTAGACCAGGTTCGACAAGCGTCGTCTGGATTGCGTTGCACAAAACGCATGATCGCACCAGCCGCCCAGATGCGCGCTTATATTATTCGTTTTTATCACCGAGAACATTTGAACTGTCAGCATGAAACGTCGATGTTAATGAGGTGGAGGTAGTTTGATTCAAAAATGAAGTCGATTCAGTATAAAACTTAGAAAATAGTTTTTCATAATACGTACTTGAACATGTGTTCGTGATCACAAATGCAGGTTTGACTGGCCTGGTAGTTGCGCGAAAACTCGGCGCTATTTTCGAAATCTTCCAAACATCCGTCTGCGGCCGTATACCCAAAGGGACATGGGTTTGGTGGTTCACAATAAGCTGGCAATACACTATCGCTTTTAACCTACAAGTTAACGGTGCTTGAGCATCCGGCAAAAAGTTAGCCCTCCTCGTTTTGATACATTTTTTAAATGCGTTTTTTGCATCTATGCAATGCAAAAAGGCATATTATCGAAGGTTGTCTGTGTATGTCTGTATCTCCTTGTGCGCATCAGTACCGAGTTTTCATCTCACTACAAAAGCTACAAGACTGAAACATTGGTAAATTGATCCACACTCCACGTACGGGTCCTGTCCTCAAAATGGACACTCATGTCTACGTCCTCCCCACGTACGAGCGTGTGAAATTTTTTTGACGGGGAGCGATTTCGGGAACGGTACAAGCTGGAAGGCTGAAACGTCAGGATGTTCCTTAGCCACGTCAAACCCAAAGACTTCAAATTCAGTCTTCACGCGCCCTTGGTTCTCACATACGTACAAGTCAAAGCTTAAATTAGCATCTCGCTAACTTCAGATTTAAGCTAACCAAGAAGTTGTAGAGAGCTGAAATTTTGCTGCGTTCCTTGCCTACCACTGATGTGTTCGTGAAAGGAAATTGAACTTCCTAGCCCCTTTGCATCACACGTACGGATACGTAAAAATTTCACGCAGGCAGTTTTGTAATTTCGGAACTGAAGTAGCTAAAGGGCTAAAACTTTCCGAGCGTTTGGCCACGTGGGCGTGAAAACAACTTTTACTTTCCTTTCATGTCTCACATACGTGCCATGTACGAACATGTAAAATTTGACGTAATTTCGCAACCAGAGCAACTGGGTTGCTGAGGTTTTCTGAGCGTGGACCAAGGCCGTATTTGGGCGGTTGCGCATGAAAAGAACCTTCACGTTCCCTCTCATTTATATTCATATACGTGAAATTTAGTGTAACTCCGCAAGCAGAGCAGCTGAAGTGCTGAAATTTTCTAAGTGTGGCCCAGGATCGTGTTTGAGCAAATGCACGTGAAAGCAACATTCACTTTCTCTCCACGTACAAACACGTGAAGTTTGACGCAACGCCGCAACCAAAACACCTAGAGTGTTGAATTTTTCGAACAAGGGTTGGTAGTCATTGTAATAATTTCTGACATCCGCGGTGGCCGGTCTCAATTCTTTTAGCTAAAAGCATTTGTCAGAAAAAACAGTGCCGTTAGTAACAAAAACTTGCAGGAAAACTGTGCAAAAAACGCATCTTCGCATTGGCAGTCGATGAGCGCACCGACCAATGGTTCTTATTTTTATCTTCAGGTGTTTAATAAACTCAGTATTTCGAAATCCTATTTTTCATTATTTAGCGCACTTTTGTGCTTTTCTTTCTTAACTTTAATTTTTTGATAATTTTTTGCACTTTACATTTGTCTGATTTTAGTGCTTTTCTTGATAAAGTAAAGGTTGCTGAGATGAAAGTGGGTGACAACATGCATTCGCTTCCGCACAC